GCAGTAACAAAGCATAGAATTTGAACGATTCGCAAATAATGTGCAGAGAATGTGCGAATTCGTAGCCAACAATTGCAATGAAACAATCGAAATCGATAAATTCGACCGACATAAATCCCCTAGCATTAAACGATTTTACTGAATAAAAATGAGGATGTAATCCACAAAAATGAAACTGTTTCATTTGTCCTTGTTAGTGAATTTCCTGAAAAATGCATTAACTAACTCGATATGTATGCAACAGTTTTTTTTGTATACTGAAATGAAAACATGGCATTGATCTGCCACGACCGATGCGAAAGGCGACGAATGCGCGCTAAGTTAGTCGCAACAAGAAACACTCTGCATTATGAATGACATAGATTTTGGTGTGTTAGCTATAGTTCTGATTTCGCTGATTCTAATGTGATATATGCCATTAACGGTATCGAACGAAAACACACATTTATTTATTTATTACGAAGCCTACATTTATGCCAATATGTGTTCACAGCGAGCTGAGAACATGCTGTTCATAGACCCAATACGGCATAAATTCCGCCCATGGTGCGTCTTTTGCAAAGAGATTACAGTCAGGGGAGGGATGATATAAAAGTGAAGCTTCCATATCAGAATTGGGTTCGGAAAACCATGGCAAAACCGGCCTGATTCTGGAGAACCAGGGGAAATACAATGATGATGAGTTTTTACAATTAAAGTACGATAACATCAATGGGAAAAATCAAATGAAAAATCACAAACTAAAATCTAGATTGGATAAGAAATTTCATAACAATGGTCCGAGAATTTGCGATTTGAAAAATTTGAAAAATTTGAAAAATTTCAGAAAATTTACTGCGTAGAACGTAACAGATGCTTTAGATTATTCTAAAACACGACTAGAGATTTAGAATTTTTAATTTCGACCGGTATACTATTCCAAAAGTTGATTGCAGAGAAACTAAATATACGTATTCTGAATTTTCGTTATCAACCGATACATCAAATAAAAGCCGAATAAATTCTCTTTCGAATAGATATAAACATGTTGGGAATTTATGAAGTAATTTTGTGGATATGGACATGCAAATCGGAAGATCGAGAGTTTATGTTACAAATTGGTGTTTTTACGATACTTAGGTAAATTCAGCAAAGTATTCGGTATATCGCAAAGGAGTTCTTTGACTAACTCAAAATCTCAGCGAAAGTATAAATTGAATGGAAATGACATTCGTTTATGAAAAGTTATTTTTATTACCTAATCAGTATTCGTAAAAATTCAGAATGCGTCAATCACAAACACTTGTGTTCGTTGTTACTTTTTGGCCAATCCATTAAATGCAACACGCAGTGGCAACTCATTTTATTACTTATTTTCCGCAGTGAATTACGCAAACCCATGATTTTACGTCAAAGATTTTAAAATAAAACCGAGAAAGGATAAACGAAACCATCAATACGAAAATGATCTTCGATGAAAGTAATAATGTGAAAAAAATATATTATATATTTTCCACAATATGGAATGAAATAAAAATATACATTTTTTTCTTATTTGGATTTACTTTACGCAGACATTCAGTATTCTCTACGTTTTAAATTAAACAGGTGGTGTCAGTTATGTTTTGAATATATTCTTTATTTTTCCAAAATT